ATATATATATATATATATATATATATACACATACATACACACACATACACATATACACATTGGCCAGATCTGTGCCTTGCCACAATTCTGTCTCTGAGCTCTTCAGGCAGTTCCTTTGACCTCATGATTCTCATTTGCTCTGACATGCACTGTGAGCTGTAAGGTCTTATATAGACAGGTGTGTGGCTTTCCTAATCAAGTCCAATCAGTATAATCAAACACAGCTGGACTCAAATGAAGGTGTAGAACCATCTCAAGGATGATCAGAAGAAATGGACAGCACCTGAGTTAAATATATGAGTGTCACAGCAAAGGGTCTGAATACTTAGGACCATGTGATATTTCAGTTTTTCTTTTTTAATAAATCTGCAAAAATGTCAACAATTCTGTGTTTTTCTGTCAATATGGGGTGCTGTGTGTACATTAATGAGGAAAAAAAATTAACTTAAATGATTTTAGCAAATGGCTGCAATATAACAAAGAGTGAAAAATTGAAGGGGGTCTGAATACTTTCCGTACCCACTGTATATCTTAAATGTACTGTAGTAAAAACAGACAACTAAATTATAGCTGTGTTGATGCAAGAAACCTTGAACTGTTTGTCAAATGCTTGAGTTTTTCACAATCAAGGAGAATGGAGCAAAGAGTTTGTGTTTCAGTTTACGTTATAAAACATTAAACAATTTTGGTTTTGCTTAGTGTGATTATTACAGTTTTAATGAATCTGGATTCTGGCTTTTTATAACCTTCCTAGTTATATAGAGACTGATGAATCTGTATTCGTCGCATGAGTGATTTCCAAATAAACGTATTGATTGTTTTCTTCAGTTTCTGTGAAGCAGTGTAGCAAGTTTAGCGATTTCAGTGTCGATGAGCCCGATAAAGGAATGTTGCGATTAAATTCTGACGTAAATGAAATGAAATAGTTATGGATGTCCATCATCTTGAAGGAGAGGGAGTATCATAAACACCAGGACACGTCCCCTGTCACAAGACAATACTTCTTGCTGGACGAGAGTAATATGCAGCACACAGTTTCTTTATGGACTGTGGAATGACTGACCAAGCGCCACAACAACTTCATCCTGGCTGTGGTTTGGTCTGTCTGAGTCCCATGACAGGATTATGACAAGAAAAACATGCTTTTTATGCATTTTGGGGAGAGTCTTGCATGCTGTTGGACTGTAAAAAATGGCCTTTGTGACAGACCCGTATCGTTTAGAGTATTTGCTTCGTCGTGGAAAACTGTGAGTTTCTTGCTTGTTTTGTTTAGTTTTTTGTTTTTTTTCAATTACTTGTAACCAGGTAACCACGTCCGGGTGGTTTTTAATGTCTTACGAAGTAATTCCCCATCATATTTTTCACATTTGTATTATTTTAGTTTCAAAGTTTTTACTGTATTGAAAATCCTGTCTCTTCATTTTATTGCAAAATCTTCCAGTCGTTTGTGTAATAGTCTCGCGTACATCAGACCTTTGACTAATCGACATAACGTCTGGTCCTCATAGCAGCTTATTCTGACCACCAACTGTCAATTTAGAAAATAAAAATGTAATCGAATTGTCTGTGCACTCTGATCATTTGCAGGTTAGAGCGTCTCCAGCAGATCGTCAGTAAAGTGCAGATGGAATCAAGCATGTGTGAGGAACAGCTCAACCGGACTGAGTCTCTACTGCAGACGGTGAGATTATACATCCTCAAAACACACTTATATAGTTACTATTCGGTCAAATGTGACCCTGCAGCACAAAACCAGTCTTAAGTCGCTGAGGTATATTTGCAGCAATAGCCAACAATACATTGTATGGGTCAAAATTATCAATTTTTTTTAATGCAAAAAATAATTAGGATATTAAATAAAGATTATGTTTCATAAAGATATTTTGTAAATTTCCTACCGTAAATATATCAAAACTTAATTTTTGATTAGTAATATGCATTGCTAAGAACTTCATTTTGACAACTTTAAAGGCAATTTTCTCAATATTTAGATTTTTTTGCACCCTCAGATTCCACGTTTTCAAATAGTTGTATCTCGGCCAAATACTTGTTCTATCCTAACAAACCATACATCAATGGACATCTTATTTATTCAGCTTTCAGATGATGTATAAATCTCAATTTGACCCTTATGACTGGTTTTGTGGTCCAGGGTTACAAATATGAGTGTAAACTATGAAGTTGCTGTATGAACTTTGCATTGTAGTGACTTTGACTTTTGTTGCAGGATATCCGTCTCCTGAGTGCCGGGAAACCAGCGCAGCACACGGTTGAGCTGGAGAGGGATCTGGACAAAGCCGACGGCATGATCCGGCTCCTCTTCAACGACGTTCAGCTGCTCAAAGACGGGCGCCACCTGCAGGCGGAGCAGATATATCGCAGGTGAGTCCATACGACTATAGTGGAAAACCTTCTTCCAGTAGACGTCAGTGCATTAACTCTTTCCCCGCCAAACACGGAATTTTCCGTGTTTCCGTGTTTTCACTGTTATACACTCGGGGGCGCTATTACGCATCTCCGGAATGAGTCTAGAAAGTGCCGATCAAAAACACAGGCAAGGAAGACGCAGAAACGGGCGATCTCATATGTAAGCATATGCATATGAAAAATAATGTGATCATCAACAATAAACAGCATATACAAAAAATTGAAGGGGGTCTGAATACTTTCCGTACCCACTGTAAATGAAAACTGAGCGAAATGTCGATCCAGAAATTGGTAAAGGCCAGTGCAAGCTTTGGGAGTACTGATGGAAACCATCTACTGCATCTTTGCTCTGATCATCGTACTGAATCTGATCCAGATGTAGTATGATGTTGATGAAATTGCTCAAAATGTTGCTTTTTTTTACAAAACTTACCTACATTCAAGTGTTGATGTATTGCATGTTCAGATATTCATACAAAAACATATTCTGGGGGCCATGAAAGTTTAACGCTGGCGGGGAAAGAGTTAAAAAGGGATATTTCTTTCCCTTTTGAACCTACAAGTAATTCTATTGGATGAAACAACTATGGAAATCTATTACAAATACTGTAAGCAAACCGAATGACAGCGGTTTTCTTTTCTCAGGGTCTACCGCTTACACGAGCGCTTGGTGAACTTGCGCAGCGACTACAACCTGAGGCTCAAGCCCAGCGTCAGCACGGCCTCTCACGTCTCCATCACACACATTACCCAGAAGCCTGTGCAGCGCGCGCGGCCCGAGCTCGATGAGGTCACGCTCCGTTACGCGCAGGACCTGTTATCCTGGGTGGAGGAGAACCAGCGGCGGATCGATACGGCCGAGTGGGGCATCGATCTTCCCTCTGTGGAGTCTCAGCTGGGCAGCCACAGAGGACTTCACCAAACCATCGAGGACTTCAAGGCTAAGATCGAGCGCGCACGAGCAGACGAGGTACTTTATATTGTTTACTTTTTTATTACTTTTTTCATGTAGACTCTTACCTTTTCGAACTACTTTTCTTAAATTATTGTTTATGTATAAAATATGCCCTGTATGCTAAAGTCCATTATCTTTGAAGCATATTTTAATGGACTGTGATGTCTTCAACTCCTCCTAGACTTTTCATTTGACTCAACCATGATTTTTAACTTACTATGTAACTAACTATAGTAATTTAAAAATTCTAGTAAATTTACACATGAATAATTAATAACAAATTACTACTACTAAACTACTATAAGTATATTTAACTCTACCTTCATACATACTGTATACTGATGTAAAGCTGTATGTACAACTATTTTGCAAATCTCAACTGCTTTATTGTTTATACTGTCACAAAATCTAAACTTTTATCACATAGCTATATATTTAAAGTTGAATATATAAACATATCCAATTTTACCAACAGATGTACAGTATATTCAAGCAAAGCAATATATGCAATATTGCAAATTTTAACGGCTTGATTTTTTTATATTGTGGCAAAATGGAAACTGAATGGTCAGCCATTCACTAAATGTGATCATAAAGGCCCATTCACATAAAGAATGATAACTATAAAGATAAATATAACTGTATTAGCAGTGTTATCAATAAACAGTAATATTCTGTTTATTATAAGCTGGAGTATTGTTGTCTGTCACTTTAAATACTCGAGCTCTTTAAAGCAGGATGGATTATAATTGGCTGTCAAAGTCTTTATTGTTCATCAGCTGGGAAAAAAACTTCTGAAAGTGACTCCACCGATATCATTCCTCTTTCTTGTTATCTTTATAGTTGTGGTGTGGACTATGCTATTCCCATAGAATTAGAACAATTATAAAAACTTTATAGTAAACTTTATAGTCCTTGGTGTGAGCAGTCCTTACGGCATAAAGAAAAAAGGCATGAAAAGCTCAATACAAATACATTTGATTTTACTAAAAAAAATGGATAAATGTATTTCCTAATTTTACTTCAAAGAGCTTTAGATGGTCTTTTGTGACATCTCTTCCTCTGTGTGTGTTTCAGAACCAGCTCTCGCCTGCAAGTAAAGGCACATACAGAGAATATCTGGGCAAACTGGATCTGCAGTACAACAAACTGCTGGTGAGTGTTTTAACCGGCAACTATTAAAAATCACTAGGCCTTGCAGAGTGTCAGCATACGTCTCTCTTCTTCTCTAGAACTCCTCTAAATCTCGTCTGAGAAATCTTGACCAGCTGTATAACTTCGTCAGCGCCGCCACCAAGGAACTGATGTGGCTCAATGACAAAGAGGAAGAGGAGGTCAACTACGACTGGAGTGAGCGCAACACCAACATGGCTGCAAAGAAAGAGAACTACTCAGTAAGTGCAGAGCCAAAAACAGCATTTTATACTCCTGTTTCTTTGTCTAGGGTTAGGGGTTTGCTTGTTGCTCATTATAGTTTAACCAGGTGTAAATGGAGAATACTGACAGTTTGGATTGTTCTTCATGGTCTGATTAATTCCTCAGGGACTCATGCGAGAACTGGAACTTAGAGAGAAGAAAATCAATGGCATCCAGGCCAGTGGAGACAGACTCATTAAAGACGGACATCCAGGCAAGAAGACTGTTGAGGTACGGAGTCAACGATTTATGTTGTTAAAAGAAGACATGGTAACACTTTACTAAAAGCCTTTGTGTATAATGCATTACAAAGGGTTATTAAAAGGTATAATGGATGATTATAATTATTTATAATGTGCATTGTAATACATTGTATCTTACATTTAAAATGCACAGTGTAATGTTGAATTGGTAAGTGTTATAAAGTATTATCTGCACTTACAATTATTCATGAGATCATACAATGCATTATAATGAGGCATAATGAATGCATTAAAACTACTTTTATAATGCATTATGCATAAAGGCATTAAGTAAAATGTTACCAAAGACGCTTCTGCTCACCAAGGCTGCATTTATTTGATTAAAAGTACAGTAAAATTGTGAAAAATTGTTACATTTTTAAATAGCTGTTTTCTATGTGAGTATCTGTTAAAATATATTTTATTGCTGTGAGCAAAGCTGAATTTCCAGCATCATTACTCCTGTCTTCAGTGTCACACGATCCTTCAGAAATCATCCTAATATGCTAATTTGCTGCTCGAGAAACAGTTCTGATTATTATAAACCATTCTGAACACTAGTGTGTGTTGTAAGTGTTATTTGATCTTCAGGCGTTCACCGCAGCTCTGCAGACGCAGTGGAGCTGGATCCTCCAGGTGTGCTGTTGCATTGAAACTCATCTCAAAGAAAACACTGCATACTTCCAGGTACAGCATCAATATCATGTAACCATGTGCAGTTCTTTGTTGGTCAATCATGTATAAGCAGTATTCTTCTCTTTCTCGTCCTGTTTTACCCGTAGTTCTTTGCTGATGTGAGAGATGCCGAGGAGAGGATGAAGAAGATGCAGGAGACCATGAGGAAGAAGTACATGTGTGACCGCACCACCACTGCCACTCGTCTGGAGGATCTACTGCAGGACGCTGTTGTGAGTTTGCTTTTCATTGTCAGCAGTTGGCTTATAAAAACTAAACTGTAATGCTAATGTTTGTTTTGCAAGTGTACAGTTATCGGTACAGTAGAGATTGTTTACTACACACATTTAATGTAATATTGCAACACTGATGTCACAATATTGTAGCACAATTGGAGAAATAAATCAAATTTATAAAGCTAATTTTCTGATGAAAATTGTAATTGTGACTTAAAATGTGATTTAAAATAAACAATCCACATTTGCTGTGCTTGTTTGTAGGGCTGAACAGTGTGGCTAAAATGTTGTGAAATTAAATGAAATGAAATAAAATAAAAAATTAAATGAAAAAAATTAAATAGTCAATCAAAACAAAATAAAAAATATTACTATTGTAATATTTCACTAAAATAAAAAATACAGTATTTAAGAAACATTATATAATAATAATAATAATAATAAGTAGTAGTAGTAGTAGTTATATTAAATATAAAATTGACTGAATCAAAACAATAAGAAATATTACTATTGTAATAGTTTAGTAAAATAAGAAATAATAATAATAATATTTATTTATTTAACATTACACCTGCAAAATTATATCACTAATAATTATGGCTGTTTTAAGTTCTTCATTTTCAAACATTAAACCATCAAACTTTTATTTTAATGGAAAAACATTTCTTATAACGATATTAAAATGAAAAAGTAAAATTAGTAAGTAGCTTTAAGCTAACTAAGTGAGTTTGACCACAGGAGGAAAGAGAGCAGCTGAACGAGTTCAAGTCTGACATCGGCGGCCTGAACAAGAGAGCCAAGTCCATCATCCAGCTGAAGCCGCGCGACCCCACCAGCCCCTTCAGAGGCAAGCTGCCCATCCAGGCCGTGTGTGACTTCAAACAGATGGAGGTACAGACTCACTGGCACTAGTGTTCATTTTGTCAGCTATTTTCAATTTTAGTCTTAGTCCCGTGTTAAATGTCCTTGTTAGTTTTTATCATATTTAGTCAACCTTATCCTATTTAGTTTTAGTCAAGTTTTAGTCAACTAAAAGTCTCAACATTTTAGTTTAGTTTTAGTCAAAGAAAATCTAAAGTATTTTAGTCAAAGAGAACCTGAAGTATTTTAGTCTAGTTTTAGTCAAAGAGAACCTGAAGTATTTTAGTCAAAGAAAATCTAAAGTATTTTAGTCTAGTTTTAGTCAAAGAGAACCTGAAGTATTTTAGTCTAGTTTTGGTCAAAGAGAACCTGAAATATTTTAGTCTAGTTTTTGTCAAAGAAAATCTAAAGTATTTTAGTCTAGTTCCCCCTCGAGGGAACTCACACTGCGTCGGTAACGACACTAGGGGAACCCCCTTAGCGTAGCGCGTCTGAAGCATGAATGAAACTATTCCAATCCTGATTGGTGTTGCGTCTGCGTAGAGCTGCAGATTTGTCTCTCCGTGTTACCAAGGAGACGGCCTGTGCTCTCGGCCGCTCCATGGCAGCTATGGTGGCAATGGAGAGACATTTGTGGCTAAATTTATCGGGGATGAAGGAAAAGGACAGGGCCTTTCTCCTAGATGCCCCGATATCGCCTGCTGGCCTGTTCGTTGACTCAGTCAATATAGTTGTCAACAGGTTTCAGGAGGCGAAAAAGCAGTCTGCGACTTTTAAGCAGTATCTCCCTCGCCGCCCTAAATCTAAGAAAGCTGCTCCAAGTGGACAGCCCCAGCCATCATCAAGCTCCTCATACCGGCAGGTACAAAAGGAGAGTGTCGCTTCTAGAGCCCCTCCTCAGGGATCTGGCAACAGAGGCGAAGCTCTCGCCCAAAGCCCGCCGAGCCGAAGGTCGATCTGAGGACCGTCCTTCAGGCGAGGAAGGTTACGGGAAAGAGGTCCTAGCTTTCACAGGGCCTCTGAGGGTTGCCCCCCCCGGAGAGGAGCGATCAAGGTCGTTTCCACCTCAGAACCCTCAGGAAATCGTTGTTGGAATCCCGCCGTCCACTACGCTTCGGGCCACATCGATTTCCGGCGACCGCACG